TTAATTCTGAAATTATAAAAGGCATGGTTTATTAAATAAATAAGGAATTGAGTTGTTATTGCAAAAACAAAATATTTTTAATTTTTAAAAACACTATATGATTATTTTTAAACAAAAACACAAATTCATTAGCTTATGTTCTCAAAAATTTTCTTGCGAATATTCTTGACAAAAAAAATTAAGGTTTTATGCAAACACGTAGTGTATGTACACGTGTCACGTGCGTTACATAATAAAATTTGCATCAATAAAAAAAAAATTAACTTTTTTTAAACTTTTTTAGAGTGAGTGTTTTGCTTGAGGGTTTGGGACACCCTGAAACACATAACATTTCATTTTGCATCTTACATATGATTCGTATGTGCGTATATATAACACGAGACAAGGTTGATTTGTGAAAATGATGGGATGATCTGATATGATAAAATAAAGTGATGGTTAGAGATTGTGTGGTTGGCACTTGTTCAACTTCCCAAAAATGGGCCAAAAAAGGTTGTTTGGATCAAATTATGGGATGATCCAATGTGATTGTGAACCAATATAATGTAAAATAACGTGCAACGTAACATCGTGTTTACACACATAGTGTACAAATAGAAACTGCCTTATGAATAAAAATGTTAAAAAGGATCTTTATAAAAGAGATACTGTTACAAAAATCGAAAAGATGTGTAAAATTACAAATGATGTCCTAATAAAATTGATTGAAGTGGTTAATGGATGGCCAATGAAATATTGAGTCAATATTTGAGAGCATTTAAAATTTTTTAAAGATATACAGCATTGAATAGTTGTGGAATGTATTTTGATACAGAATGCACATTTTGGCATGAAATGCATTTAAAACCACGCGGGATATTTTCGGTCTGAATAGTTTTGGGTACAATTTGATTACTTCTCAAGTCGAAATTTGTTAGTATCCAAGAAAAGCTATTCTCGAAAGTATATGTAATTCAGATTGTTTATGTAATGTTCCATTAGGGAACTACTCCTTTGACAAGTCTATTATTGCAGTTTATTAAAATATAGTGATGATGATGGCACACAGATTGCATTCGTTGATGTATTATAAAAGTCGAATGAAATTGTTAATTTTTGTTTATCGAACGCTAATGAATAAACTATTCAACCGCAAACTCTTCATTGGTGTATAACAAAAGGTTATTATTATTGTTACCATGAGAGTGAATTCAACCTTTTATCATTGCTTTTTACACTTTCCGCAGGACCCGAATATAATAAAAATTTAGAATTTATATAAACTTTTGATTTTTTCATCAAAAATTAAAATATTTCGTATTTTATGAATATTATCTGAATCCAATTTATGTATAATATTACTTGAATCATTATGAGAGAATATCATACATACTTCATTTACCACACACTATTAAAAGTGTCTACTGTAACTGGTTTAAGGTAATATAAGATAAGTTATTCAAATTTTTCATATGATCCCGTCAAAAGAGAATAGATATCGGTTTTTCATAATACATCCTAATAACTTTATTATTCTTAAGAATTGGATTATCTTTAATTATGTTTGCAGATTCAAACTCTTATTGTTTATAAATTATTTAAAAATATTTGCAGCTTCCCAGTTTTTTCTCTAATTACGATCCATCTTTTGAATATTATTAATTTCTTCTACGAATAGGCCCTGCATTTGGTTTTAAATTGTCAATATGTTCCATTATAAAATTTATCTTCTCTGTCTGGAATTAATAAGCTATTGAATGACATTTTAAGCTTTATTTTTAATAAACTAAAAATATATCGGCTCTTTAATGCCCCAATTTTATAATATATGGGCAGACCAGACAAAATGTCACAAAGGAATCCTAGAATATTTTTAAGTATGTGGACTTTGCATAGGGATACAGATAAAGATAATTCTAAATCGTATAAACTGTTTTTACTAATGAAAGGCTTCCTTGTAAGAATCATCATTATCAGACCACATCATTAAATTTTTATTTAACTCGTTTATAGAACAAATCTAGGGCTAGATTGCTTAAAACTTCTATTATAGACTGATATGCTCTTCCAAGTATTCAGTGAGCTTGATTAACCCTCCTATCAAGTATTTAAAAAAATACAACACCCATTCCAAGCATTCAATGGCTATTTTTTGTGCTTACTGCAAAGAAGAATCTTCTGTACTGTTTGTAAACCATACCATATGTAATTTTTTATTGTTGTAGAGACAAGTGTGACACTATGGCAACCGCCATTGCAGAAGCACTGATCACATTACACACGTAAACAAGTATGATGAAAATGTGGTGAAAATTATAGTAGATGGGTTTACCGCAGTGTTGTCCACGGATGTTGTCTGCCTTATATTAAACGGACAATGTCAAGACAAAGTCCGTCAAAAATTTCAAATTCCGCGTAACAACTTGTCATGCGTATACACATTTTTTTAAAATGTCCAGAACCTTCATAAGCTACAGATTAATTTGCTTTAATGTTGGTTTTACTATTACTATAATATAATCCATGATCATTTTAAGGGAAGTCACGCCCATAACCTCCCACTATTTCTAAAATAATGTACAGAAAGAGACCAAGAAAAAAAAAATTCACAAAGATTCCACATAGTGAAAGCATTGGGAATGACAACCGTTTTTACAATAATTTCCATAAAATTTGGCAAAAACGATTGTCATGCCCGATGCTTTTACTATGTAGAATCTTTGTGGATTTATTTTCCTACGCCAGTGTAAGTCTATTTTTTTTTGTTTACTTTTGATTTTTTATCATCGATCATAATCTTTTCTAAGCAAAATTTATATTTTTGTCCGGATGGGGCAGTCCGCGTTTGGTGACAATACTGATTCACCACGCTCATGTCGCCAAAGACAATAGCGAGCCAATTAGCAATCTGCTCGAATATGAAATAAAATTCAGTAAACACGAATTAGGTAATTATAGCCTGAAAAAAATCGCTAGTTGATTTCCATTTTGGGAAATTAACCTCTATGTATGTTGTACAAAAAATAAATTTTTTAAAATTAACAATGAACAAAATCATTGCAAGCAGTATAACTAGATTGTCATTATAATGGGAGTTCATATAAAAGTCATTATCATATGATTTTATAAGTTTTTTTATTTTATTAATTATTTTTGAACATAAAAATCTAAATTAATTTGTTTAGCCTCTCTAAAACTCTGACTTATTGTAAACTATCTAATAAGCGATCCTCCACTATAAACTTTGGTACTTGTTCTTGTTGTATATAAGTAAGAAGGTTTATGCAACTTTTCAATGCGTCGTTAGTATTAATATGAATAATATTTCCTTCTCCTCCTCCACCTCTTCTTCGTTAGTTATGTTTTATAGCTTCATCAAACCAAATTGCTAGAGTTTCTTCTAATTGTGGCCAATTTGCTTGCCGATTCTTTTTAAATTGAGAAGTTGAACCATTTTCATCAACAGAAAGCCATTTGTTTGATTCTGATAAAATTACTGAAACTGTGCTTCGACTAATTTCAAAATCTTTAGCTAATTTATCTCGAGTTAAGCTAGGATCGTTTTTAGCACACTTGCATAGTTCTTTTTTTTGGATGAAGGTGCAGAGGTTGAAGTCATTTTTAAAACAAAATTTAATTATGATTTTTAATAATTCATTGTCTAATTAACCAATTAATCATATTAATCAACGTTTTTATTGTTTCAATTTTTTCATGTCATTATAACGGGTGTCAGTATAACGGGATAAATTCTATAATTTAAAAAAATTATTTTTGACAAATTATGTCATTATACTAGTATAACGTGATAAATATTGAGTGTCATTATAACGGGCATAAATTTGTATTTATAAATTTGGTTTTTAAAAAAATGTCATTATAACAAGATTGCCATTATAACAAGATTGCCATTATAAACAAGATTGCCATTATAACGAATGTCATTACAACGGGAGTGACTTGTATTCAACCAAAATTGGATAAAGAAGAATTAAATTGGTTAAATAATGTGCTAAGAAAGTAAGAATGTGAGATCACCGAACAAAAGAATTTAAATGAATATATTGATCGATTTAATGAGAAAAAATTGCAATAGGGGTTGGATTCCAACCTTGGCAAGGAAATTTTTTGTTGATTGATGGCAGATTTGATCTCCTTACTACAATGAGGATTATGATATAGCACAACAATTATGACGCATTTGTAAGCGTTTTCACGCATGTGAACCAACCTTTTGCAGTTTCAAACAAATCAAATTATGGTAACCTTGAAAGGACCTATTTCATTAACACTGTTGCTTACATCATTTCAAGACTATTTAGAATGCTTACTGACATATTGGATATTGGATGGTAAATATCAATTGTGAATGTTTTTAAGCACTGGATTTTCTTAGTCACTGATTCCCTCCCTATTTATTCCACCAAGATTGAATTGACGACTCCATCCTCTACCCTAAAGCACAAATTTGATGGTGTAATAAAACAACAAGAAAAAAGAAGGCAACGATTATATAAATACAATGAGGATTCTCAATGATTTATTAAAAACAATGCCAAAGGAAAGTGCAAGAGTTTATCTTGTCCAGTCAATCAGTAAGTGAAACCCATTGATAGGAAAATATTGTTGTGTGATTAAATATTTTTTCTATAAAGGTTAAATATTTGATTCGACCACTTCCTTCAACATACCTTCTTTATCCAAAAAATACAGAATCAATTGAATAATTGATGATGATGATAAATAAATAATAAAGCATAATTGCATGAATTTACAATTTTCCGTCTGGTGATATTAATTAATTATTAATAAGACATTTTTGAAATTGTTAATAGCAATAGTATCACATAAATTTCGATCAAATACATATTTAAGATTTTTAATTATTATAAATGATTATTAAATACAATGTATTTAAAATTAAAAATTAAAATTTACAAAATAAAGAATAAATTATAAATATATATATATATATATTTACATACATATTTATTACTGCCATTAAATTAAATTAATTCACATCATATAAAAGGTTTTTTGTGATTAACATCGGTTGAAAATTGATCATTAATCTTTGTTTGTGAAGTTGAATGTGACATTATGGTAGAGGTGGAACTACCACGTCTAGATTGACTTATATGAACCATTGCAGGTGGATCACAATTATCTAGTAAACCTAAAACTTCATCCGATGATCTGATGTTTTCTTTTTTATCATCTTTAGGTGAAAGTTGATTATTATTATTAATATTGGTTTGATATTGGATTGGTGTGGCAGGTAAAGGTGGCAAATAATATTTATTACCATTTTCATAAAAATATTTATCATTATCATTATCATTATCATTATCATAACTATTATCGTTGTTGTTGTTGCTGCTGCTGCTGTTGTTGTTGTTGACGAATTCATCTTCATCTTCACCAGAAATTATTAAATTTGCCCATTCAAAGAATGTCAACCTCTGCATTGATACAACAACAAATTTGTTTTTATTAAGTCTAAAAGAAGCAGTTTTTTGTTGTCTATTTAATGAATCTCTTCTCCAAAATTTAAATTAAAATTTAATTAATTAATTAATTGTTATTTTGTAAAAGTATTTGTTGATTAAATGTAAAAAACTAATAAGTATTTAATTTTTAAATTAAGAATATTTCACAGATCATCATCATCTTTATCTGCCATTTGACACATCTAATAAAATAAAAATAAAGCATTAGTCATTTTTCAATTATTTTTTTCTGATAAACTTTTTAATTAATTAACGCATACTTTTCTATATTTCTGATATGGAAATGAAGGAGCAATATCAATATCACTTTCAGGAAAAATCCATTCTAAAAATCTCCATAGTAAAAAGTCGATTGCAACTAGCACACAAAATATTTTTCCTGCCCAAACCCCGCATCCATAATATCTAAAATGTATATATTAAAAAAAAGTTTTTTTTTTTTTTTTTTTTTTGGTAAATATAATAATATATTTTGAATTTGAGAAGTTTTAGAAATCATCGAACCTTCTTAATCTTTCCATCAATGGTGGAATTCTCATTTTCCAAATTGAATCATAAACCTTTTATTTCATTATTGTTTATGATTAATTTATTTATGCTAATATTTATTTATTTAAAAAAACAACCCCAATTGATCACATTTTTTTGTTCATACCTTTTCAGTTCTTTCAGCAATGTTTACCCAACTATACATTTCTTTTATTTCATCATGAAATTTTATTGGATTGACTTCTTTGAGTCTAATCATTTCTATAGCTTTTATTACAACATTTACTAGATCTTTAAAAAAAAATAATTAAAAATTTTTTTTTAGTAATAAATTGATGAAATAATGAAATAATGAAATGGGGATTTATTTCACCTTCTTCTTCAGGTTTAGCGAAAATAATCATATTCCTTGGTAATACTTCGGGAACACCTCCAACTTTTGTACTTACAACAAGTAAACTATATATATAAATTATAAATCAATCAATCAATCTATCAATTAATAAAAAATTAGTGAGTATATTATTTTTATATATTGTCATTAACATACACACCCACAACAAGCTGCCTCTACAATACCAATACAAAATGCTTCTGTTAAACTAGTATTCAAAAATATTTGACCTTTAGTCAAAACCTAGATAGAACCGATAAATGAATTAATAATAATAATAGGGTTAGTGTAAAAATATA